AGATAGGTAATTTGTCTCTTAAATTTAATTTATTTTAATTTAATTAATAATTATAAATGTTTTTTTAGTAGTTCAATGCTTAAAATGTTTGAAAATTTGGGTCGAATAAGTGAAACTATAAAGTTTCGATTTTCTTCTATAAGCATTGTGGCGCTGGTTCCGAGCTTTGCGGTGCAACAGGCTAGGGAAAATGTTATTTTTGAGGGTTTGGAGGGTAGGTATAATTAATAAGGTAATGTGAATGACCCCTAGGATAGATGGGAGAGTTTGGGAGTTTTGGCTGGTAGAGCCATGCTGCGGCATTCTAACGGATTAGTAGTTTTTAAAAAAATATATATTTAAAGTCACTAGCAAAACCCTTATTCACATGAACTTTCTAGAGAAGGAAGAGAGCAAGAGGAGAGGAAGGAGAAGGATTTTTTTTTTTTTTTTTTTTTTTTTTTTTTTTTTTTTTTTTTTTTTGAGATCCATAATTTGATTTTCAGCCATTTGGCAACTTAGAGAAATTGCCTAGCTCAAGATAGGCAACCCATACCCCGTTTTTATTTTCAATTCACATAAGTAAAGTGGAAGTTATGTTTCAAATTAATTTTTCTTGAGTTTCATAATGGTTTCACCATATAACTGTTTATATGTTGCCTTATTGTACGTTCTGAATGTTTTGGAAAAGATTCTTTACATATATTGTATTAAAACTCATAATTTCATTCTACATGCATTTCATGAATTGAGCTCTTTATTGGAAAAGATATTGGGCCCAAAAGTGAAAGCATTATGCTTTAGAAATGTTCAATATTGGAAGCTCTCCGTATTGGAAGTTAATCTATATTGGTTTCATTCTACATTGTACTTGTCTGAATATATGGGATGTGCCTCTGCTCTGCACATGGGTAACCATGAGGAAGGTGGAAATTTGGGAGTTATAAGGGGCATTAATGAATTCAAATATTGCATTCATACATAAATATTTAGTTAAATAATATTTTATATTTATTTTTAGTATTTTTTATAATTATGAATTGAATGTTATGATGGGAATAGGATCTAGCCAAATGAGTTGTGAACTCATTATGTTGCTTTTACTATTCTAAGAAAAGGAAAATAATCTATTTAGTAGATTCAGTTTGATAAGAAGCAAGGTTATTGAATGGTGACATATTTATGATTATGGAAATCCATGTTCTTTATATTTTGTCAAATGTGATTGAAATATGGATTCTTATATATATGAATATTTTGGAAAAATGGATTTTTATTTTTTGTTACTCTTAACGTTTCTTCTATATATTCATATTCTTGTAATTAGTGGCTTTCGTAAATCTGTAAATGCAAGACGATTAGCTTAGTAAGTTTAAGGAATTAGGATTAAATTCCTCTCAAGATCTTGAGGCATCATAGAGTACTTTGCTAAACTTATGATGGGTATTGAAGATTGGAGGAAAAGAGTTTTTAATGTTAATATTGGTAGATTATAAGATAAAAAATAGTATCTATGTTTTTTTTAATTCTAAATTAAAATTAAAAATTTTAGATAAGGTGTATTATTCTATTAAAAGGTTTAATGTGTTAACTTTCTATAACATAAGTGGTCTAAATGTTTAGTTAATACTTATTGATGCTTAAGAATTCATTTAGGGATTGATCACACCATTATGAGGGCGTTGACTTTGTAAGATTAAATCAAAATAAACTTTAGTCAAATATAGTTATTTTAGATTGCCTCTACAATTTTGATTCTCAATTAAAGTTGTGTTTTCACATGTTATTTATTATGATAACAACAAAATTTGAAAAAAAAAAAGTAAATAATAATACCTTAATTAAAAGTAAAGAAATTTAAGGTCCATTCAGATTTAATTTCTTAAAATGATGGATATCTCCTTTACACTTACTAAACTCTAGTGCAACCATAAAATTGGGAAAATATTAATAGTTTCATGTATTCCACAATAAAAAGAAATGAAGATATGTGAGTGGGAAAAATATATCTAATCACAAATATGAACATTACATGTGTTATAACTGTTCAAATTTCCTAAAAAAAATTGAGCAAAGAGAATGAGTTTTACCTCTTAAATCTTGAAGAAATAAGGATAAATGAGCAATAAGTCATCTCGAATGGTGATGAGTAGCGGAGCAGCTGATAGCTTCAGTTTTGGGTGGAAGAACATGAAAATGAACGAAGAAGGGTTGAGGCAAAATAGGGCTCTTACTGGTGGAAACATCCATTAAAAATTAAGTAAATTATTCGATCATGATTTTGGATGGAAAAAATATTGAGTGCACTAATCACTGGTAAAAATTATGATAAAATGTTTTCAATTGAAATTTCATTGCAAAGATTTTGCAAGAATTTCTACCAGGCGCCCGGTTTTTTAAAAATTTTGCCAAAAATTCTGATGGAAAAAATTCAACCAGAATTTCTTTGGGTTAATCTCTTATTTCATGTAATGCAAGTTTTACTCCAAGTTTCTTGTCCAAATAGAAGAATCTAATAATAATCATTATTTAAAACTTATTATACATAATTAACTAATAATCAAAAGCTTAGCTTAAGTGGCATAATTCTTAGTTTCAAGGGTAGAGATAATATGTTGGCATGTGATACTCTTTGAACAAAGTACTCTTAAAAATGGAATTTGGCATGTAATTGTATATCCTATTTTTTAATAATATCCAAAGTCTCAAATAGTCTTTAAATTTCAAAAGACTTTCTAAAATATAAGCAGATCTGTTTGTGTAGGCTTGCAGGCTGAAGGTTTGAGTTGAAGTTGCTCTAAGCTTGGTGAATAAGCTTGAAGATGATTCTATGGTAATGGACTAAATACATGTAAGTGTATGAGGGCGTAGGGAAGGCCAAATTGGAGAGTTGTAAATTTGTTGTTGTGGTGTTGTGGCTATAGTTAGGATTAAAAATGAGGATGGAGATGGAGAAAATAAATTATAAAATATAAATTGAAACACACAAAAGTCACAAGAATTTGGATCACCCATAAAGTATCATAAGGATTTCTTCATAATTAAAGAAATTTCTTATTCATTAAATCACTAATAACAGAGTGCATGACAAGTTTCTACATCAAAAGAAATAAACAATATATCAATTATTTAAAAGAAAAAGAGTGGTTCAACTTGATTTCAATTCCATGCTTCCATATTTGAGTAGTTATGACTATATACTTAGATCTTTGAATAGTTAACCGAAGAGTCGGAGGGACTTTTGAGTGATTTTCTATTACATGGTGATTATTTTGTGGGAGGAGGGGCTGGTCATTCTTATATGAAATGTAATGTGGACTTGAATTGATGCACATACTAAAATTTAGTGTAAAGGGGCCATAAAAAAACTCTTCTTCATAGAGAATATGAACAAAATCATATCTAATATAATGTGAGATATGCTCCATAATTTCCTTGGTTTTGCCTTATGTGTTTCAAATGAGATACGATATTTGTTACAAAAAGAACTACATATTCGGAATTGCCACTACAGGAAAATCGTCAAAAACCGGCGGTTTTTTCCGGCGGCTTAGATGGTTAAACCGGCGGTTTTCAAAAATACTGGCGGCTTTTCGGCGGTTCTCAAGCCGCCTTTAAAAAGGGCGTAGGAAACAATTAACGGCAGTTTATTTCCGACGGTTTTATTAGTCGACGGCTTTCCGGCGGCTAACACCGCCGCTGACTACCGGATTTTGTACCGGCAGTGTTCCGGCCGTTGAGTCGCCAGTTATTTTACCGACGGCTAACCGGCGGTCACTTCACCGACGGCATGCCGGTGGTTACAGCGGCCGTCGTGCGTTCGATCAACTGTCGGCTAGCGTCGGTTTACCGCCGGTAAAATTGCCGGTTGTTACCCGGCGGTCATGGCCGACGGTACTACCGGCGGTTTACACCACCGGCCTTTCACCGGATAACCGCCGGTGGCCGTCGGTAATCACCGGTATATTACCGGTGGTGTAAGGAAATTACCAGCAGCGTCAATCAGCCGTCCAGTATTGAGTTTTCCGGCGGTCCTATAACCGCAGGTCATGACCGCCGGTAATCGGCGTTTTTCCTGTAGTGTGCCTTTAGTTGTTAAGACATATGACTGTGAAGGCACCAATAATTGTGGATCCTTAGCTACTACAAATTAGTTAGCTTGCAAATCTCTAAGATTTACAATTCCCCAAATGTTAATCACATTGGGAAATATAAAAAATTTTAATCAGTCCAAATTTCATATACAAAGTTACATTTTATGATAAATTAAACGCAGATTCAATATAATATATTACGATGATGAATACTTTTTGACAAAAGCTTTAACATGTTTAACAAAGTTTATGTCAACTTATTAAAGTATAAGCGAATGACGATCGTGAAGATTAAGTGCAACAAAAAATGCAGAATAATATAACGAAATATTATCTAGATGAAGTGGTATTAGAAGCAGACCATTGATTTCTCTTTTAAGCTTTGGGTGCACAATAGGGTTCATGAAATCTTGTAATGTTCACCTATGTTTCAAAGCAATGTCTAGTTGCGTATAAATCATAGAAGGTTGCACATCAATAAGTTCACTATAGGATGAACAACCCAAGCCAAAATTTTAGGATCATAAAATGAATGTTAATTTTAATATGCACAAGTGTAACATCATTCACATGCAAGAAAGACTTAACTGAGAAGTTTTCTTAGGCTTCATTTGGGATGACTTTCTTACTGCTTCTTAAAGCAGCTTTTTTATACAAAAATTTTAATTTATGCACTAAAAAGATGTTTTAAGAAGCAGTAAGAAAGCCGGTCCAAACATGATCTTAATTATTTTAATTTAAAGTTTTCAATAGGATTCTTATGATTAAAACTATATGCAGATAAAAAAAGATCAATAGAAGAGTGGTTGAGATAGATGAAAGATGAACGGGTTAGTCAATCACTATCAACTATAATGGACAAGGGCCCAACACCACCTTTCTTTCATTCCAATCTTTATTACTATTTCATTTGTTTTGAGGTTTGAGCACTACTTAGTGGTTTGTCTTAAAAAAATATCCTCAAAGATAGAAATTTTCCCTCTTTTCTCTCCCTCACAAATAACTATTTTGAGCTTCTTTTTCTTCATTTAATGGAGAAAAAGAATGGCTACACACAAGATGGCACCGTTGATCTCCATGGTCGGCCGGTGCTTGCGGCTAAAACTGGTCGATGGAGGGCATGTGCTTTCCTTGTAGGTATGTTGAAGTAGATTTTTTTTTTTTTCATTTAATTGTTGGGTGAAATTTTAAAATCATTTGATTTCGAATTTATATTCTGTCGAAATAATCAATCACTGAAAGAATCACAAGGCAATTATTGTTTTTTTTAGTTAGATTCTATGTATAACAGGTAGTTTACTTTTTTCCGATAGAAATGAACAGCTTGGTGAAGCTTTGGCACTTAATATTTTCCTCTAATTCTGCCATAAACCATTATTGTTGGCTTACCATTAACTCTGCTACTAAGAATTTGATAGGTTTGTATAAAAATATATATAACTCGTAATCTTTGCTGGAGATTTTTTTTTTTAAACTTCATCAAATTTTATGACAATAACAGATCTGCTAATGATACTATTTGAGCTCATCTCAATGCAATTCTACAAAGAATTTCTCAAAAGAATTTTTCCCGTAGAGTCTTATTTTTTAAATAAAATTAAGTGTTGAGATTAACGCATGCTTTTGCAAGTTTATTTTTTCTTTTATTTTTTTCAATAGAAATAGAAATAGAAATATATATATATATATATATATATATATATATATATAATTTTGTCTCTAATAAATTGCAATACTTAACAAGGAGAGTTTGGAAGTTCAGATCAGATGGGGATGAGATTCATTTGAGTGCTATTGCTTTATTGGAGTTTCTGCTTTTCGTACATTACTAATAAGAAATCACTGTTTTCATGTGTGGCTTGCAATTATTTGTAAAATAATTTTATAATTTTAATAAAAAATTTATTTTTAAAAGTTTTAATAAGTATTTTAATTTTTCTTATTCTAAAAATATTCAACAATAACTAACATGCTTTAATAGATATGAGTACACAAAATTATTTTTGTTATAAATATTTTTAAGATCAGTAAATAAATTATAATAAAATAAGATTATGATTTTTTAAAAATAAAACAATAAAAAATTACCCAAAGGACATCCTAACTTATTTTTCTTGTGGGATGATGCTCTTCAAACAACTTATCTCAAATATATATATATATATATTATTTATAAAATTAATATTATTTATTAAAATTTTAATATATGTAGATATATAAAAATTACTTGGTATGTAAATATTACCACATTTATTACTATTTATTTATTTATTTATTTTTTGCTGTAAGGGAATGATCCTGCTTACACTGGCCGTGTGGCTCAAAACCGTACGGCCAAACTGCGAGAAGGGCGAAATCTGTAACAAGGCAGCGCCATCTGAAATCGCATTCTTCTTCTCCGCTTTGTACATGATAGCCATAGGCGCTGGAGGCACAAAGCCCAACATCTCAACCTTCGGCGCCGATCAATTCGATGAGTTTGAAGGAGAAGAGAAAAAGCTGAAAGTGTCCTTCTTTAACTGGTGGATCTTCAGCTCCTTTACCGGAGCCCTGATGGCTACCACTGGGCTTGTATTCGTCCAGGAGAACCTCGGCTGGGGTATAGGCTACGCGATTCCAACTGCAGGGCTTATTTTCTCTCTGATTATATTTTATGTGGGAACGCCTAAGTACAGGCACAAGGTGTGTCGGAAGAGTGGGATTCCGGCGAGGGAGATGGTTAGGGTTTGGGTTGCAGCCTTTGCGAATTGCCGGCGGGAGTTACCGGAGGATCCGAAGGAGCTGAACGAGATGGAGCCCCGGCATTACTTGATTGCTGGGAAGAGGAGACTAACCCACACTTCGGCTTTCAGGTGAGCTATTGCTCTTCTAGGTTTTCTTTATTGCTGGCCCGCAATCATAGAGCAATATATTTCAAGCTTTACTGAACACCTTTAGACTTTTTTTTTTTACCGAACACCTTTAAACGTGTTTATTTTTTCTTAATAAGTTAAAACCCATGAAAAAGCCTACTCGTTAAATAAGAAAATATTACATAGTCATTAGAGGGGACCTTCAACAGCCTACTGCTCAGAAGAGCTACAAAAAAAAAAAAACTCAAAAAAAATCCTAAGAATCGAAGGTCCCCTATGCTAACAAGTACAAAGATACCAAACAACATTCTAGGACTGCAAGATGACAGCACCAAAAAAGAAAGACTATGAAATGGAAGATGAGCACAACCTTTCTCCAAAAAATAGAGCAGAGCCTCCACCAGCATAACCAAAATTTGAACCTACAATGATGATCAAGCACATAGGAGAACCTGCCAAAATAAATGCCAAAACTAAAGAAACAAATGATTAATACTAAGGGAACTATTCAATTCACAAATCAAGCAGGAATTCGAGATACTCCCATTGGTATAATTAGGCAGGAGATAATATTGCCAAAGAATGATAACACCATATAAGCCATTAGTGACGCCCAAAATATTCTACTTAGAAATCAACCACTCGGAAATGAAACCAATGATAAAGTGAAAACCATTAAAACAGAAAACAGTATGAAAGGATAAATCAACACGAGTTAAGGTCTGGCTGCCAACATCCAAGAACAAAACATGGGTCCAAAAAAAAAGAGCTCAGAATCTGGCCGCAACCCTCATGATTAATACCCCAACGCAGCTCAAATCTAAACCCATAATAGCACAACAACAGAGAAAAACATGAATAAAGATAGGGGAAGTGATTGTCAACCAATCCACCCTCACAAACACAAAGCCAACAGACCATAACATCCAGCTACCAGAGACCGTCAACAAATAGCATAACCAACAAAATCCATAGCCCCCCAACTTGTTAACATTAGGGACAACCCGCCCAACAAACAACAACTTTAGACACCCGAAAGCTCTAGAAAAACTAAGCAGATGGGTCAACCAATCCACCGAACACTTTTAAACGTGGAATAAAAAAAATGCTATGATTAGGTAAGAACACGTTGACCCAATTTTGGTTCCAATGAGCTTTAAAAAATGATGAATTATTTTTTTAATATATTTAAATTATATAAAATTATATGATTTGAATTTCTATATAATGTAAAAATATTGAATATATTTATTATAGAATTTATAATAAAATAATAAAATAATAAAATATAATATGCAATAAGTAGAACAATTATTAAAGAAGACGAAACAAAAAATTTCCCCAATACACATCCGTCGGTAAAAATCTATTAAATCAAGCATAAGTCTTAGTATATATATTTGAATTTAGAAATTTTTGTTCGACTTAGGCTTTATTTGAAACATCTTTTGACCAATATTTTTTTGTTGTTTTCAATATATATTCTTTTGTACTAAAAAATATTGTAGAAAGAACTCAAAAAGATGTCTTAAATGAAACCTTAATATCATCTATATCCTATTTCTAACAAATTTATATTCATCTTGACAAGATAAAACTAATGAGCTCAAAATCATTGAATTCTTATATTATTAAGACAACTAAAATATTATATTTTAGTATATTTTCCAGAAAATAAAGACAAAATAGAGGTCAACAACATGTTCTAACTTTAGTGACACCTGATGGAGATGTAAGGAGACAAATTCCTTATCAAAAAACTAAAATTTTGGAAAAAGACAAAAAACTAATAAGAAAACAAAGACATTCACCCCTTCGAGATTTTCTCCGAGATAAAAAAAAAAACTAGCCTTAAGCAGAGATGCACCATGTATTAATTCTATTCACCACCCCAAATTGAGGTATGCAAATTGATGGGTAGCGTGTGTGATGGTGCGCAGAATTGTTAGATATGCATGAAATATATTTATATTTTCTTTGATATAAATTCCCACAAAATAACATGTACATTTCAATCAAATAATAAAAGTGATGTAGAGAGTGTTAATCTCATGAGGAAGTGTTCTGCTACAATGCAAACATGCTAATATTGTCTAATTGAGCTATAATGTTTAGCCTACACCATGAAAAGTTGGTTTAGATTCTGTCCTTTCTAACAAATGCACATGAAATATACACTACCATTAGGTAAAGTGTTTTGAACTAATGATAGTAAATTTTCAAAGCTTTCCTAACTAAAGTCTCTTATGTTGGGTGTGAATCAGAGCATATGCATTCTTTGATCTCCATTGAGCTTTTAAGGAAGTGAATGAAGATTTATGACCCTCCGATAGTTATAATTTCTTTATAAACTTTAGAACATTAAATATGTGATATCTATGTATGCAAGAGTTTCATTTCAATAATTCTAATTATTTTAATATTCCTTCATCAATATAATATATCTCGCAATGTTTTAACTTTACACATGGCCATTACTTAGATTAAGTTAAGTACAAGATATATTGAAAATATCCATTAATTCATTAAAGTACAAGAGACTACAATATTAATTACTAAGGCTTCCTATCATTAGCCCAAAATTAGAAGTGTAACTAGTCATTGAATAAAATGAAACATAATAGATTTTATTGATTGCTATAGAAAGAAAATATAGAGGAAATAAGTTTATTAGATTTAAACGAGAATTTGGCTTTTAATAGGACACAATGGAGAAAAAGGATTCATGTAGCCGACCCCACGTAGTGGGATAAAGGCTTGATGTTGTTGTTGTTGTTGTTGTATAGAAAGAAAATACAAAGACAAACTTGTAAATAAGTAACAAATGAATAGTAAAATTTTACTCTCCACATTCTTTTGATTGCTTGCTTTCTCACAATAAGGTAGGCTAAGCACTTTAATTGGTTTCACTTTCTCTCTTCTAGTCCCTCTTAGACTTGACTTTAAGGTGGCACTATAATTAAGCACTGATTACTCAATAGAGTGACTAAACTTACTAAAAATGATATAACTCTCCTAAAGATGACAAAATCTCTTTGCAAATAGATTGAAAAACTATTTATATCAAGTATAGAAATAAAAACAAGCATCGTGATGCTCGACATGATGGTGTAGTCGTATTATAATATGAACTATTGCCTCGGTGCCTCTAAGTAGGCTTCGCTATGACGTTAGACTAATCTAACGTGGTTATTGACTGGACCAGTATATTGTTTGGTTGATTCTTCGTAGCTTCGCATTTTATCAACTGCTCCACCGTGGCATTGCATAAGTGTAGTTCCGAATGTGTAATCTGATACTGTGGCATTGTGAAGTTTGAAGCTATGGTGCTCAAATTTACTAGGGGAAAACACGCGATTACCGTCAGATTTTCCGGCGAAAAATTATGCTTTGGTAATGACGGCGCATGTAACGGCGCATTGGTGCGACGAAAAATTTGCGACTTATTTTCCGGCGCATATAACGCCGGATTATTTCCGGTGTCATTTGCGCCGGTCTGTGCGTCGGAATAAACCAATGTCTCACGTGTTCCGACGCATGTTACGGCGAAAAATAACTGGCGCCATTACCGACGGATTAGGCGCCGGTGTATTTAAACTCAACGAGTTTAATCCGGCGCATTATGCGTTGGAACTGGTTCTCGATACTCCGATGATGTGATGTAGATTTCTAGCACTACGACATTATGATGCACTGCAATGTGACCTTGGTTCCGTTGGGGCACTATTTTTTTTTTGAGGCTCGAACACTACAATGTCATGATCTAACATCAGGGTGTTCTAAATGCAGCAATGCTGATAGTTTGAGCGTTGGGATGCTGGTTCAACACTTGTGATTTTTCTCCTTTTGTAGAGACATTACTATACAACATCATCTCAAAATAATAAATTTCACATAATTTTCACTTAATAAATTCCCTCATATTAAACTCTAGCTTGTTGTCAAGTACTTTTGTAATTACCTATTAACCTACTTTATTAACCCAAATCAAATTTGATAATTTAAAATTAATTAAAATATAATATAATACACTACCATTTAGATGTGAACTGAAATGATCAAATTGTTGCAATTCTAATTTAAAAATTCATAAGTAATCATCCTAATAAATCATCCTTTTTAATATTCAAATTTAACTCCTATACTACAAGTGTAAGTACATTGTTGACTACTGATTTTAGAGTTGAAAGTATTTATGCCTATAGCTAAATTATAAATTCATTCTAAACTCATCATCATCATATATATATATATATACATATATATATATATATTAGTTTGTTTACCTTCCCCAATTTGATTTAAGTATTAGAGTTCTTTTAGAAATATGGCTATATCTGATACAATTTTTATATAAAGTAATCATTTTTGTTTTCTTTTCTTTCTTTTGATTTGTTTGTTTTTTGCAAGTTTTTTTTTTTCAAACATATTCGAGTACCACGATAATGATTTTGAAAATCTTATTTCCTTCATCCATCAAGAAAATTTAAATTGAATTAATATAAGAACTATTATAAGCTCACTAATTTTATAATGGAGTTTATAATTATTTTCATAATTTAGTTTACACACTCTCTTTTTCTAAACTTAAATATTTAATCTTGATACCATTAATCAAGGCTTGATTGTTTAGAACATATTTGAAGTTCAAGATGAGATATTTACTTCAATGCTTTCTTTACATTATAGAAAAATCGTTCATTACCGATGGAAATTTCCAGCAATTAGCATCAAATTTTCGGTAATTTTACTGGCTGTTTTTTGGTGGTTTAACAACTGTCGATATATACCGAGTAGGAAATGTATTATGGTGGTAATTTTTCCTAGTGATTTTCCCTCGACAACTTCAGCCGAAAATTATTGGACCCAAAATCATAAGTAAATTGCTAGAAGATTCCAGCAAAAATATTGCTCGCAAACCACCGATCATTACCGGCAGTTGTATATGTAGTCAAACCCGCTGGTCTTTCCAGTGGCCAAATTGCTGAATAGACACCAAT